ACAGAGGAGGGTGAACTGCTGTCACCATAAACCAGATGCCTTCAATAACTGCAGTTTTAGCCCAGCCGATGTGGCTCAGTGGTTGAGCATTGATCTATGAACCAGAAGATCATGGTTTGATTCCTGGTCAAGGCACATGCCCAGGTTTTAGGCTTGATCCCCAGTGTGGGATGTGCAGGAAGCAGCCGATTCTCTCTCATCATTGATGTTTCTCTCCTTCTCCATTCCTCTCTGAAAGCAATAAACATATATTTTTTTAAAAAGAAAAAAAAATTATAATTTTAAATGGTCCAAATATCCCATTAAGGAGATGGACCATAATCTAATAAACCAAATCTCTACTGTTGGTTGCCTACATTATTTTCAGCCTATCCTTATTTTACTTCTATATCTTCAGCTGGAATTCAAACTATGATTAGTAAGCTGGCATTCAAGGAGAGCAGTTTGGGACTACAGATTGAGGGCTGTGGAAACCTGCATTCAGGGCCAGGGACAGAGGAGAGGAGACCCACATGACGGAGGCAGGAAGGCGGAGAGAGCAGTGGTGCTAAGGGTGGTGGAGGTGGGAGGAGGACAGAAGCAGAGGCCTTTGGGAGGTGCCTTCCTCCTCTGCTTCCTCCACCACTAGCCCGGAGGCCTCTTCTCTCCTGACCTCTGTATTCTCCTGGCTGCAACCAATGGCTGGCTTATTGATTGATCTGCGTCTACCCGTGAGTTAAAAAGAACATTAGCAAAATGTAACAGAGAAACAGGTCAAGTGTTCAGTTAAACTCAGTAATGGCGCTCCTGTAATTAAGCAGATATTTAGGAGACTGCGTACAAAAAACAAGAAGCAGATGGCACTGACTTCTGGCTTTCCTCCACAGACACAGAACAGGAAAAATAAGTTCCAATGCCTGGGACCAGGGCTGTGCTGAGGTTCCAGCACCCAGACAGGCACATGCCTGGGCAGCTGCAGCAGGCAGATGGGTCCTCTGACAGCGAAGATCGAAGATCGCAGTGTTTCTGGTGACTCCCTCCTTAGGGCACCCAGTGTCAGCCCATCTGGTTGCTGGTGGGCAGGAACGCTCATTCCCAGCAGGTAGTCACTGCTGGGAGGCGATACAAGAGCCAAACCAGCCGTTTCAGAACCTCTGCAAAGCTGCAAAGCACGCTGGCCCTGCAAACCGCTGGCCTGACCCCCCTCCCCGGGAAGGAAACCCACTCGGCTCCGTGTGCCGTGCACAATGGGACCATACAGAACAGGGGTATTCCAGGAGGCTTTACTTGGCTTTATATCAAGGTATTCGAATGCCATGCGACGGATCATTCAGCTAGAAAGCGCTTTTGTTCTCTGCTGCTTTTCTAAACAGGAAAGGAAAGTAACCGTGACTTTAAAGCCATCAATAATATGCCGAAAAACTAGCTGCCATTTGTTTATTGTTAAAATGAAAAGAAGTTTCGATAAGTAACATACATTTACTGCAAAACACTTAGAGTGAAAAATAAATAAATCTCCCTCCTACCTCGTTGTCCCAGCACCCCATCTCCCCAATCCCTCTCCAGAGACAAACATTGTTACCCATTTCCAGCATATTTTTCCAGAAATAGCGTATAATATACACAAAAATATGTGTGTCCCAAAATGTGTATGCGTGTATGCATACTTTTAATAATTATAAAGGTAGTGTTTATTAAAATACATTTCATTTTCAAAATGTAATAGAATCAGTTGTTAAAGTGCATATGTGTATTTTTGGGAAACACACACACTCTATAAACATACACACACAAGTACATACCCTTATTATTATATTTAAAACAAACAAAGGCATATCAAAGGCTTTGAGAATTACTGCAGTAAAGAAGCCTGTTTAACTTCATTGACAAATCCTAAACGTGTTTACTTATTAGAAGTATTAAATTTTATCAAATAGCATTCTTTGTCTTTTTTTTTGAGAACTATTATATATGCATAGATTAATACACCTTTCTAATGGATAGCCACCCTTATATTCTTAGAGTACAGCCTCACTGGTCATGACACATTATTCTTTTAAAAAACTCTCAGATCCAATTTTCGGGCATTTTATTTAGGATTAAAAAAAAAATCTCTATACTGACATGAGATTGGACTACAAGTTTCTTTTCTTGCATTATCTTTACCTGTTTTGGATATAGTGTTGTGCTGGTCTAAACTCGTTTCTAAACTTTTTACTTCTCTCTGAAACTTGGCAGGAATATTGCTCATAGACTTTATGTCCTAATCCTTGTCTTTTATAAATTTTCAAGACAGTGACTCCTTTTCACATCTAGTCTCTCCATAGCATGTTTTATTTTGAGCCCTTTCCTCGTAACTTCTAACTAGAGAAATTCTCGGAGTGTACTTTAAGAAATTTACCTGAAAGATAAAGGACTGACCTGAAATTAAATCCATCTCACTTTTAGATTTCCATAATTAACCCACAGATAAATATGATTCTGTGCCACCTCCTTACACTTGTAAAAACACAATCTGTTTCTTGAAGTCAAACCAATGATATGATAGTTGACAATAAAGGAAAGTAGGAAAAAAAAAATCAAGTTAACCTTTCCTCAAGAAGAAGTTAATAGCAAGTTGATGACTCTAACCCTAAGTCAAAATGGCAAACTTGAATTTTCTGGGGGCAAGAAGGAGGGTTTTGATCTCTTATTGGTACTTGACCTCTTAATTCACAGGTCAAAAACCTATATATATAAAAGGCTAAAATGCAAAGTTGGATCACTTGCTATGACATGCACTGACCACCAGGGGGTGGCGCGGAACATGGCAGTGGCAGCAACCAGTTGGTGGTGGGGCACTGATGGAGCCAGGGAAGGAGGAGGCGGAGAGGCAGGGAACCTGATCACAACCCAGGCCTAGGGAACCTACCTGTGCACGAAACTATAAAAAAATCAAACAACTCAATAGCCTTTTCTTTCTTCCACATATAACTTTTAAAGATATTAAAAAATCTTACATATACAGGGTGGGACAAGGTAGATTAACAGTAGTGAGTACAGAGTTTTTCTTGTATTGTTTTTTAATAACATTTTTTTGGTTAAAAATATTTTTATTGATTTTTTACTGAGAGGAAGGGAGAGGGATAGAGTTAGAAACATCAATCATCTGCCTCCTGCACACCCCACACTGGGGATGTGCCCGAAACCAAGGTACATGCCCTTGACCAGAATCGAACCTGGGACCCTTCAGTCCGCAGGCCGATGCTCTATCCACTGAGCCAAACCAGTTAGGGCTAATAACTTATTAATTATTGTTTTGTTTTTCAAATGAACAACTGTAAATCTGCTTTTGCCCCTCCCTGTAGTAAAGATTTGAGGGAATGCAACTAGAAACACATCTGAGAATGCATATGCTGAGGAAAGGAAGCAATGATGGATGCAAGGACCAGATTCACATGTAACATGTAGAGGCATGTAACAGGGGTTGGGATTTGCTAAACAAGAACCAGATTGAGTAAAAATACTTCAATTTCCCAGGCAAAACTATTTATTAGTACAAGCATCCAAATTAAAATCCCTTTAATTGTCCACTTTTTTCCATAAATATTTATTAGGAGGAAAATAAGCCTACTTATTTGAGTTATAAATTTTATTGTAGAGATGCCTTCTCCATCTTAAACTCTTCAGTATTCCCCTTCGCTTTATAACTATTTGGCAGATGAAAGGGAGTTTTTCAAAGGTCCATATGTTAATTATTATTTTTTTATATTTCATTATTTAGATTCTTATTTCCACCCCAAATAATCATTAAACATTATTTTAATCAGAGCATTAAGAAGCATTTAACTGTATAAAATACTTAAAGATCTACTTTGATCCAGAATACAAAGTTTGATGACATAAAAGAAACAGTCTTTGTAGCTTATTTCTAAAATTATACTCCATACATTTACCAACAAAAGTTAAGACAGTAGAATCAGACGTGTGGACATCGGATTGTAAATATGCCTTTGTTTAGACAAAGAAGTCATGTCTAAACCTAAAGAATGAACAACCCTTATAAGGAATACTCGGTTCCTTCTGGCAACTTAGGAAAGGTTGTTTAGGAGGACAAGGAACGGGATGTTGGGCTCATGCCTCTGTCGCTGAGCTTTGAGGAGCGGCCTCCTGGCCTCAGGGTGGTGGTGAGACAGAGACAGACGTGGGAAGAACATCTGACTTTGGAGTCAGCGCAACACCCACCCTAAATACTCCATGGCCTCCTCTGGGAAGTAAAACACCTCTAAAACAATTCCAATAAAGAACCAGACAACACCACTCCCCTGCTTACCCTTTCACTGGTCCCCACCACCCTCAAGATCGGCTCTCTGTTTCTATTTCTCACATCATTGTCACAACACACACACAAAAATTAAAGTCATCCGGGATGCTGACCAAAAAATATATTATTAAATTACAAGGTGTATTTTTAACTGTATTCCTTTTGAGAAAGGAAAAAATTAAAGTCAACTCTATTCATAATCGCCCCACCCCTTCCCACACACAGAAGTACCCAGATACATCGGCATTTTACTATGAAGTCCTTAGAAGAAGCCATGTCCCATCACAACGCCACATTTCTGTCGAGTTTGCTGTGTCTCTCAGGAATTCCTTTAGTTGTCATGCACCTACATGTCACTCTAAACCTACCTTCTAATTGGTTTGTATCCACAGGAGACAAACCCGCTAATCGTATTTGGGGTAAGCGAGAAGCTGTGACAAAAAGTCATTTTTCTATCTTTTTTGATTTCATTACGTTTGGATTAGCAGTGATGAAATCACCTATAGGGAACCCTCTGGTTGTTGGTAGAGCGGGAGGATGGAGAAGTAGGGGTCATTCCTATTCTCTCATTGTGCCTTCTGGGAAACAGGGGATTCAAGTGGTCTTTATGAAGGAAAAGAGATCAATACACTAACATTGGCACATGAGTTCAGTGAGAGTCATGATTAACGAGTTTACGTGTTTGAAACTTGTCATAGTTACAAAAATCCAACGTTACCTCTTGAAATGATTCACCAGGACTCCAACAAGTTCTCCAATTCGGTTCTCGTGGGTTGGCTGCTTGCTGAAGAGGCAGACGATGAGGTCCTTGTTGTCTTTCGTGTGGAACACCACAAGCTGATCCTTCCCATTGGAGACGCTCAGGCCAGTCAGCTGCAGAGAGACACATGGAAAACGATCAGGTTGGTTTTTTCCTTTCTAAAAAGGAATACAGTTAAAAATACACCTTGTAATTTAATTTAATATATTTTTTGGTCAGCATCCCGGATGACTTTAATTTTTGTCAAGTTTCATGGAACAAGCAGATGGAAGGCAATAATAAAGAATGAAAGTTAATAAAATTGAAAATGAAAAACAATAGGAAAAAAACCAACAAAACAAAGCTGATTCTTTCAAAAGATCAGTAAAATTGCTAAACCTCTGGTCTGAAAGAATGAAAGGGAGAAGATCTAATTACCAATATGAGAACGGAGGAGGGGATAGATATCACTACAGACCACCTAAACCAAGTAATTCTTTGAAACCATAAACTACCAAGACTCCCCCAAAAGAAGTAGATAACCTGAATATTGCTATATCTATTAAAGGAATTAAATTTTTAGTTAAAGATCTTTTGAAAAAGAAAATTCCAAGTTCAGATGTTTTCATTGGTGAATCCAACCAAATATTTAAAGAAGGAATATGACCAATTCTCCATACGCTTTCTAATTCATCTATGAGGCACTATTCTGGTTCCAAAAACAAAGGCAGTAACAAGAAAACCACAAGCTAATATCCAATATCCTTCATGAACATGGATGTAAGAATGGCCAATAAAATATTAGCAAATCAAATCCAATAATGTACAGAAACAATAACCCATGACCATGTGGCATTGATCTAAGAAATGCAAAGCTAATGCAGTATTTAAAAATCAGTCAATGTAATATATCATAGCAACAGAATAAAGAAGAAAGCCACATGATCCTATCAATCGATGCATAAAAAGGATGTTACAAGTCAACATTCATTCATGATAAAAAATCTCTCAGCAAACTGGATTAGGAGAAGACTTAGACTGATCAATAACATCTATAAAAATACCACCGCTAACATCACACTAGCCATTAGGAAACTGTAAATTATAACTACCATGTGACATCATCACAACCTATCATAATGGCCCAACTGAAAACAAAACAAAAACGAAAGAGCAACAACAGAAAGGTGACAACACCAAGTGCTAGCGGGGACGCAGGACTGCTGGGACTCTCATACAGTGTTGGTGGGAATGTAACATGGCACCATCACTGGGAAACCAGTTTAGCAGTTCCTCAAAAAGTTAAACACAGAATTACCATGTGACCCAGCAATCTCACTCCTAGGCATTTATCCTAAAGAAATAAAACCTTATGTTCACACAGAAGCTTATGCATGAATGTTAGTAGCAACTTGCCCCAAACTGGAAACAATTGAAATGTCCATCCATTGGTGAATGGATAAACATCTTTGTTTGATGTTCATTGATACATCTTTACAATGCTCATTGATTCATCCATACATTGGAATGCTATTCAGCAGTAACAAGGGATGAACTAATGATATAAATCATCTATATCAATAACATGGATCTGTTTCAAAGGCATTATGCTGAGCCAAGCAGCCAGTCTCACAAGGTTCCTGCAGGACTCCGATTAAGTGATAGTGTCTGGAAGACAGAACTCTAAGGATGGAAAACAGAAAACATATCAGTGGTTGTCAGGGTTCGGGACCGGGGGAGTCAGATACACGGGTTTTGGGGTGATGGATGACTCTGCATCCTGATTGTGGTGGCTGTTACACAAATCTATGCATGTATCAAGACCCATAAACCTGTATACTGTCACCACTACCAAAAGCCAATCTTATTTATTACATGTAAGTACAAAAAACATAGATCCCTGAGTGTTTGACTCATAGATATTCTATTTTGGTCAGCAAAGCAAAACCTGGAGTGATTTCTCATTCTGTGTTTGTTCAATTGCAGAAAATACCAAAGTGCCACCTCCTGGCCGCCACAGGTGCTGTCAGCTTTGTGTGGCAATCAGCACTGTCAGGGTACCTACTGGGGGCAATGCAGAGGGCCAGGCAGCCAGGAGGGGGGTGGGTGGGGGTACCTTAAGAGGCTGAAGGTGTATAGCCCCTGTTCTAGGGGGATTCTAACCCAGTGGAAGAGACAAATATCAAACAACGCTAACAGTTCACACATTTGGAAGGCCACTGTGTTCCAAGCCCACACTTTATAGATAAGGAAACTGAGGCTCAATGAGGTTAGCTGATAAGCTGTATAAATAAGTATTCCTAAACACGAGGTGAATACATTTTCATAGGAGGTGAGCTTTTATTTTATTGATTTTACTCGTAAAGAATGCCAGGGTAAGTGTTTAAAGGACAGAAGAGAAAATATTCAAGGAGTTAGAAGTCAGTGCACAAATCTATATAGAGCCTGGGCTTTCTGAGGCCACTGGAAGGAGAATAAATCAATCTTTCTGCCACTTAGATGTCTCATATCCAGCTGATTTTTAGGTGATTAAATTAAAAGCATAATTTTCATTTTAAAAAACATTTTATGTCAGTGGTGCTTCATTCTCATTTGATTATTTCATATACAAAATTCAAAATTGAATTTATGTGGCACTTTGCTGGAGAGCTTGATTAAAGTTTAATAAAATGAGAATTCTAACAGCAGTAACTCTGTCAGCATGTCCCAGGAGCATTAGCTGCAGGGGTTCAAGGACAGTCAGCAGTTCAGGGAGAGATGCTGTCTAGGCCAGCAGGGAGGAGCTACTGACTCTTGTCCCAGCCATCCTCCCACCTCCGAGTGTGGTCTTCCCTATGCCAGCCTGTCTAGGAGGCTTTATATCACTGTCCACTGGAATTCTTCATGCATGTGCTCAGGCCAGAGGAAAAAACAGCACCTCGTATCTTCTGCTACACAAATAAAGAAATATGAAGCCCCTGCCATCACCAAGGCAGGACAAACAGAATCTAGAATGCCTCCTTTTGTTCTGGGAAACAGGATATAAGGTACGGAAAAGCAGTGGAGTAAGGGATGACCTGGATTTTTTTTTTTTTAAACTAGAGATCCGATGCACAAAAATCTGTGAAGAGTAGGACTTCCTTCCCCCCGGCTGTTGGCACCAGCTTCCCTCAGGCACCCAGGACCCGGGCTTCCCTCCTCTGGATGAAGGCAGGCACCAGGGACCCAGGCTGGCTTTGTCAGGAAGGACGTCCGGTCTAATGAGTATACTACCCTTTTATTATTATAGATTTTTTTTTTTATTGGTTTCAGAGAGAGGAGGGGAGAGGGAGATAGAAACATCAAAGATGAGAATCATTGATTGGCTGCCTCTTATACACTCTCCCCCCCCCTCCTTACTGGGGATCAAGCCTGTAACCTGGGTATGGTCCCTGACTAGGAATCAAACCCTGACCTCTTGGTTCATAGGTCAATGCTCAACCACTGAGCCACACCAGTTGGGCATAATCTGGATGTTAACCCTAATTCAGGCAGGTGATCCTGAATGAGTCATTTAACTTCCTGGGTACCTCTCCCCTTTTCTGCAAAATAAAGATCACACCAGATGCCTGGTCTACCTTATACGTGTGGTGAGGATCAAATAGCAGCAACTCAGGGTATAGAAAGATAAATAAGCAAACCCCCTATGCTTTATGGGTTTTTACACTCAAACCTAAAAGAGGATGTTATAGCAGTATCTGCAGACTTCATACTTGTACCATAGAAAGGGGAGGTATTGTGTGGAAATACATAGGCTAGGGAAGGAGTCACTTCCCCAGTCATCTCTGAGCAGCCAGAACACGCAAATAGTTCTCTGAACAGAAGTGAAACTCCTTATCAAGGCTTTTACCTATTAATCGCCTTATTTCTCACCATCTGTGGGCTCTCGATGCTATGATAAATCCAAAACTACTTCTTTGGCCTTGAAGATTTGAGACTCTCTGAGGATAACCTTGACCTCAATTCTCAGAGCCTCCTCAGTCAGGAAGATCCACCAGCGAACACAACTGGGCCGTTCGGAAGGAAGAGGCTACCCTAGGATTTGGAGCAGATGCCCTCCTTGGCCATGGAGTAAGTACAAGAAAGCGGAGAGAACCAGAAAAGAAAGTCCCGATTTTGCATTCTCATCTATGAAATGAGGGTGAAACAGACCAATATTAGGAAGTGAAATAATTCTGAAACATAAACATGACAAATTGGCCATACAATGGAAGCAGTAAGTGACAGAATAGATATTGCAGATCAAAGAAGAGTTGAATAAAATTTCTCAATGCCAAAGATTTGAGTCTTTAGATAGGCGTCACAAGTGTCAGCCCAACCATTAGTAAATTAACATAATCACATGGAGAATTAGCCCAGAGAAAGTTTCCAGCTGCTCTAAGAACAAAGGGAAAGAAATCTTCAAGTATCTAGGCATAGAAAATAAGTTATCTGCACAGGAAAATAACACTCAGGTTTAAACACTTCTTTAAAAAGGTGCTCATTCTGTCTGAAAATGTAGGAAGGTATAGGAAGCAGATAGGAAGAAAACATTGATTCTGTCATTATTCATAGGAGGATGTGAGAAAATATGATTTATTCTTGGTATTGATTAAGAGAGATCAGTTAAACATTTAATAGTAACCATTATCAAATTAAAAAGAATGTATAACTTTATTTTTAGTAAAAAGGAAATAAATGAAACTTGACTGCCTGGCCTGTGTGGTTCAGTGGTTGAGTGTGGACCATGCATCAAAAGATCACTAGTTCAACTCCCATTCAGGGCACATGCTTGGGTTGCAGACTCTATCCCCAGTAGGGGGCATGCAGGAAGCAGCAATTAATGTTTCTCTTTCATTGATGTTTCTCTTCCTCTCCTTTCCTCTCTCTCTAAAATCAATAAAAGCATATTTTCAAAAACTTCATCAACACTGCAACTCGAAAAAAGAAAGGAAATAGTATGGAATAATTTAAAAGCATTTGCATAAAATTGTTAAATGTAAGAAAAAAAATAGTCAGTTTCCAAAAGAAATGCAAATGGCATACAATTGCTTTTTTGGATAAAGAAGGTTCACAGATTAGGTCAAAAGCAAACTTTATACTCTGTTATGGATGCACCTAAAACAAAAAGACATAG